AAAAAAAAAAAAAGTGATTTTGTATGTTGAATTTACTGCTATTTTTTGGATTTGGAATTGGAACTTGGAAGGTAAAATGAATTTGAAGGATAGAAATGTAATTGTATCTATTTAATGATTATAATGACTTTTCAAGCAAACAAGATAATAGGCCATATTTAATCACATGAATAAAGCCTTTAATAGAAAAGGGAAATAATCAAGCCTAATCAATCACCCCAACCAATCACACCCAAAGGGGAAAAATATATTAAACTTTCCAGATCGTGGTTGCCAGCATCTATCTAATTGGCAACCCTGTCACATCAGGTCACTCAACCACGCCTCAGCATAATGCCTTGAATACATGAATGAGACAAAGAACCATAAAGAACCACAACAACCAAAACATCACAGTTTTTTGAAAGCATACCTCACTTGGTGGCACATCCAAGATTCTTGATGCAGCTAAGAATATGTCAGGAGCGGGTTTTAAGTTTTCAAATGCATCCGCAGACACAATAGCATCGAACCTGTTAATAAAACATAAAAATTACGAGACAAACAAAATCAAGAAAACCACAAAACTATTCAGAGTTTATAAATTTTAGTAAATTACATGATCGTGTCAATAATTCTCAGAAGGGAAGACTGTAGTTAAATTTAATCACTACATGAGAAGTTCTGATTGCATGAGTAAATATGCAACCATTGAAGTACAAATAGCTGGTGAGGTAAGAAATATCATGCGCAAAATCAAGACGAGAAGTTCTGCAGAAAATCATTATTTTGATACTGTGATTACTCAAGGATACAACATCTTGGCATTGTGACTGTTTCAGTGATCGTCCTGTTATATAACTATAGGTGAAAAATATCTATCAGAATATGGAAGAGCAGTTATAGCAAAAAATTTATGTGAATTGCCAATATAGAGCACAGCAAGAATGCAGCTGCAACTGTTCCAATGGTTGCAGTTACAATCTTCTAGGCAGTAATGAAGTTGTATAATGGTTTAGCTCCACAGTCCTTTCTATAAGCATAATTTACAGGCATATAGGCTAGTTGAACGAGCAATAATTCACAAACTGTCAAAATGATATATAAAAGGTGGAAAATGTCAAAGTTGTGATATTATCTTAATTATGATATCCAAATTAATCATGAACAAACGTACATTGACAACTGCAAACCAGCAGCAGCTAAATTTGCGTCAACCTTGATACGGTCAGCACTAGATACAACAGCAACTTTGAGACCTTTGTTTTTACACTGTTGTGCACCAAACAGTAAATTTTTGGAGAAAATGGACTATCAAACATTTTTCAGCCAAGTATACCTGTACAATAAGTTCATATGCACCAGGGAAACCTATGCCAGAACCTGGCCGTGCATACTGCCAAAGTGGAACAAGTTTGTGGGTCAGATATATTCTAAAATCATTAAATTTATTCAACAATTCTTTCAAACACCTTATCCAGATATATCTCGAAAAATCTCTTCTTTGCCGCCTCTGTATTAAATCCCTTTACACCTTTCACAGAAGCCACACCTCCTAAAAAATTGGCTTCACCTAATTCACAGAAGGAAGAATATGACTAAAGATCCACAGAATAGATACAGTCGAGAGGAAGAGGGATGATGAAAATCATGTTATCAAAATCAATGAAGGTAGAAAGAAAAGGCAAATTCGTACAACACACTAACTGATCTCCAAGTAATCTCATCAATTATTAGGATCAGGAGACTTGATCTATAACAGCATGAAGCTTCTGGTTGCAACAGAAAGAATAATGCAAATCTTTTAGTGCTTCAGTGTGCAGAATATTGTCTTTGAATGACCAATAAAGTTACTGAGTTAGCTGTCATGTGCTTATAGATTCAATTTTAGACCTTGGTAAGAGGTATTCAAGCAAATTGATGAAAGGTGAGTAGGTGACTAACCAGACAACAATAAGTAAAGAAAATAACCCATATGGAGTACGCAAGCTAAGACAAGTGAAGTTAATGAAAAATCCCAAAATGTCTGGAAAATTAAACGTATGAGCAAGGAAACTGCCTTCTATACACTGGCAGTTGAGATAAATAAGAACTGGGAAGATTCCAGTCAAAGTAACATGTGGCACTGAAACAAAGAATTATAAGGAGGTACTGCAGTTTATGCAATGGCCTGAACATGTTTAAAAAGGACGCCATAAATTGAATTTTACTATGCAGACAGATTAATAAAATCCAGTCATAGGACTTTAAAATCCATTGAGAGTTATTGGTTTAGCTAAATTTACTACATCAATTACTGAATAAGGACTTAGCCAATAACAAATCCTAAATAATAAAAGTGTGTGCGGTAAGATTCTTCATCAGGAAATAGTTGGCATGAGTTACATGGCAAAATAAACTGAAGAGACTAAAGGAGACATGAAAAAGCAAACAATTCACTAAACCACAATCAGTTTGAAATGTATCACTCCACAGTTGCATGTGACAGGAAAACTACTCAGGCTTAATAAACGGGATAAGTAAATTCCCTAATCACTTGGGAGTCCTTTCAGAATGAAGTTATCCTGGACAACATAGCTTCCCAGCATGATGGAGCAGCGCATTTGTTAGTCCAATAAACAACTAAAGTCCATCTATAACCCACATGAGGATAATAGTGACCGTTGCAACTTAAGGCGTAAGTTCAATTTTTCAGTTATATAAAGTAAATTCATTTTTTCATTTATATAAAGTGAACAAGGACAGGTGATCACCCCAAAACCACTAAATTGCATATTCATGTCTCTTAGCAGGAGGAAGATGCAACTATTTCGAAATAAGTTCGGCTAGCAGTATCAATCTCTCGAAAACGTGCATAAAAATGCATCATTAAGAAACCATTTGCAGGAGTGTTATTAATGTTCGACCCTGAATCTGACCTCCCCTCCTGTCCTATTCTTACCATTTCACCAACTAATCAAAGAAAAGATAAAGATATAAGGCAAAAATATTCCGATAGTCAGACGCTTAAACGGCTCTGATACCAAACAAACAAAATCAACAACAGAAATGACATCCAGAGTCGCAAATTTGGCAATCGGAAACACTCTACCTGTGCCCGTGAAAGGCACAAAATCTTGAACCGTGACCTCTACTCCCATCTCCGCAAAGAGGTCGACCGCCGCCAACCTCGACGGCTCCTCGCTGTTACACAGCACGCCATCCATATCGAACAACACCGCCGAGACGTTCCCCCACTCGCCGCCGGTTCCAGCTTCGTTTTTCTCCTCCAATTTCACGCACGCCTTCATCGTACTCCCTCGTGCTCTCGTTCCCACGCCGGAGAACACCGGAAGGGGCTTGTCCCTCGCCCGATGCAGGAATTTCGTGAGAGACCTTGATTTTGTAATCGAGAAGACCAGACTTTCGAAGTGGCTTCTCGAGGAGCAAGTTGTGAATGGCGATGGCACTGATCTCAAAGCCATCGTTCGTCCTCGAGGGAGTGAAGAGAGTTCACTGGTTTGCTTTGAGCTGACAACTGTTTCTGTATGGTTTTGTGGTGAGTGGCGCGGAAAGAAGATTGCTAATATTGGGCACCTTATCCCACTTTTGATATTGTTGGTACTTTTTCGATTTTATCAAGACTAATACATAATTTGAATAAAAGAGTTATAGTTATTGAAAGTATATATAAAATTATAAAATCAAAATTACTATATATTGATATTTTCTTTCAAATTCTCAAATTTTTTTTGTACACAATATTATTAATTACACTTAAAATTTATCAACTTGAAAAACTAAGAAAAAATATGATGAATGAGCTCAGTGACGGAGGTACAAGGGGCCCAGGAGGGCCCGTGGTATGAAGGGCGCAAAAAGAAAATGTAAAAAATGTAAAAACATATTTACAATATATTACTAATTAAAACTTATTCCTATGCTATTTTTATGTAAATGAATAATATTATTTATTTAATGAAAAATATACTAACAATCGTTATATTTTAACTTTTTAGATAAGTTTGTAAAAATGTTTATAATTTTTTTTTTGTATAAAAGAGGAGGCCAAAGGCCTAGGATGAAATTAGACTAAGACTCGTCGGGGATATGAAACCCCGATAGCATCATGATCCAGCCAAGACCCCGGGGGGGGGGGGGGGGGGGGTTGGAAATACGCTCAAGACCCAACGAAAAGGAACCTGCTAGACTAGCCATATGATCAGCCGCAAAATTAGCCTCTCTGTGTACGTAACAAACCCGAGCGTGCCAATCTCTTTGAATCTCTTAATTGTAAATCAATTTGGTGATTTATAAAACCAAGTATTTATTAGTTGGATCGTTACGTTTTTTAATGTTAATTTTTTACTCTTTTTTTTTGTGTAATCACATATTTTTACTTTATTTATTTTTTTCTTAAAAATGTGTTCATTTGATAAGCTTGTATTAACAAAAATGATATACATGAAATCTCATTTTTATTTATTTATTTATTTTGTTTATTTTGTTAAAGTTTGAGGGCGATACGGATTATAAGTTCTTAAAAATTTGATGGTACACATTTATATCTATATTTATAGTAAATACATTTTTTTATAAAATAAGTGTTTCGACTTAAACTTCAAGCTCGTTATTTAAAATTTTAAAATCGAGCCTCTCTTAGTGAAATTTCTGGATCTGTCACTGATTGGGCTAAAATTTATCACCTTGAAAAGATAAGACTAGGGATGATAATCCAGATAAGGACTAAAATTTATGAGAATTAAGATAAAGGATGCGGTTAGTTAAGATTTCATTAATTCTATTATCAATATAATTATAGTATATAATTTTAATTCATCATTATCTATTACGCAAAAAAAGACACGGACTCAAAAATATGATAAAATTTATCAAACTGAAAAATAAAAAAAAAATATGATGAATTGGATAAATCCTTAGGAAAATGAAATAAGGAAATAAAGATTTGTGTGATCTTTAAATTTTAGACAAATTTGGTAATGAAATAGGTTGATGGGAGACAATAATGTATGGTAATAAATTTATTTATGTCACTTTCCAAAACAATTTGGTTTTCATATTTTTTATTCGAACTTAAATACAAAGTAGCATGTAAGCAAAAATGTGTGTAAGAGCACTCAAGGCCTTGGCAATGCTCTCAGCATCAGGAGCCTCTTCATCGGAGTCTTCATTCTCTCCAGTATTTGCTTGAACATTGACTTTCAAGACAATGTCTTTGCTCTTCACATTATCAAAATTGTAGTTGATTTTGAGGGTGCGCAAGTCTCCAATCAAATCATCTATCCCCAAAGGTTGAATCCTCATGAAGCTTTCCCATGAAGTGATTTTTCATGTAACCTTTTTTAAAGGGTTCTCATGAGTTTTTGTATCTGTCTTGCCTCTAAGACCTCTTCACCAAACATAGCGCTTTGGTTTACGACATCAAATAAGCGAGCATAATACATAATGATTGTCTCGTCTTCCCTCATCCAATATTGGTCCCTTCAAACTACCTCTCGAGAATTTTCCATGCATCACGTGCGGTGGAACACTGAACAATCATCTTGTAATGGGTAGGATAAACCGACGACATTATTTCATAGAGAGCATGAAAGTTAGCTTCTTCTCCTTGTTTTTCATTATCACTCCAAAGGTATCTTGATGACTTGACTATTCGACCAACTTATGGACGGCTGCATAGGTTGACGAAGGTTCCTTCTTTTCAAAAAGAGATTTCTCCATCATGGGCAATGTCCAACCGATATCGATAATTTGCCAAGTGCCTCTTACTAAGGATCGAAAGATTATCATCATGGTTTTCAAATACAATCCATCGAGGTATGAAGGGCTCGAAGTCGACAAGGCGTCGTGGTTCATGATGCCCGCCACAAAGGACCTTGGATCTTTATCATGTGGTTAGCACAAAAACACTGTTTTGGTGTCAATTGAAACGTATTCGAGGAGAAAAACTAGAGTACGCAAGGTGTATTCGAACACAAAGAATAAAAGCAGAAGCCATTAACTTAAAAATCTCATCGGGGAGCATTCCATTACCCCTCAGAGCTCTTTATTAACATGGCAGTTTGCCTGTACAAAATACAACTTGGACTTACAAAACTATAATTCCCTTCTAGTCTAGCTAATGTTATATCCGACTCTATTATAATCCTCTGGCCATAACCATGGACTTCACAATAGCTATGGATCCTCCCAGTTATACTAGTACATAATCCCTAACTACGAAAAGTGTTTGTAAAAACAAAAAGCAAACGCAGTTCTTCAGTTGTGTAAGAACACTGAAAAACTAGATACAATAAAAAACTCGAATAACAAAATCTCACAAACACTCAATAAAATCTATGAATGTAATAAACTCCAAATAATGTAGCAACCTTCAAATGAGTATGTGCGTAGGTATATATACAATCTCCTCAAGCTAAGAAATTTCAATCTTTCTTCCCTTTCGAGTCGATTCCCTTCCTCCTGTAAATACTAACTAAATGCGTGATTGTTTACGTATTGTACAGTGAAAATCTCAATCAAAACTCAAATTTACTTCAACTTTAACTCAACTCCATTATCTCCAAAATTATCAATATAATTAGATAATATCAATCAATTATTATTACACATCACATCAACTTTTTTTTTGGTACAACACATCACATCAACTTTAATTCATTATCCATTCACTCACATAATTTTAACTAACCATCACTTTCAATCATTTGTCCTACTTTTACATCAAATCAACTTTAATTATTTTAATATATTATTTTAATATATCCACTAACAACTAACCATACTACTTTTTTTCAAACTTAACTATAGTTAAAAAAAATTAGTTTTGTACTAATTGAATTCATATCCAATCAGCCCTAAGGATATGATCAAGATCATTCAATGAAAGAGTCAATATCTTCATCTTGCAAATTTATTTTAACAACTCGTATTCTTCCTAAAGTACACAATATCCTACAAATTACCACAACAAATATTATGCTAACTTCAACTTTATATAAGTTATAGTATCTAGGCTTAACAAAGAAATCTTACAGGTAGGAACCTGTTGATATCTTTCTTTGAAGAACTTTCTTAAGAGATGAGCCAAATGCATAAAAAAAGAAATATATAAACTTCACCTTAAAGAATTAAAATATCCATCATATTTCAAAAACAAATAAAAAAAATAAAATAAACAAGCATGAACCAACAACGTTTTGATACTAAATCTAATTTGTTGTTTTATGTCATGTTTTTTTCTTTTTAATTAAGGCTATTGTCGGGCAGACTCATAAAATAAATAAATAAATAAATAAATAAAAATAAAAACATTTTTTTTACATAACGCATACTTCTAAATCAAAACGTTATATTCAAGAAAATAACATGAACAAAAGTATGACATTCCATAAAATAATTATGCAATTATACATATAATGTATGATGAGTTGACCCGCATAATGTGCATGCCGATTCACATAATAAATATTTCATTGTAAAAATAGTTATTTCCACCCTAGAACCATAATACGCTAAGTTTTTCA